GAGTTAGGCTGTGATCTGGCCTGGGAATCAAAACACGGGGCTGGACAGGAGTGAAGCCGAACGCTCCAGAAGATTGGAGTATGGAATCTGAGCAGGATTTATATCCTGCTGTCTGAAGAAGGGAGGCTGGAGGATTGAGGTGTGTGAAATGGGCCCTGCCTTTCAGATGCACTATGTCCAGGACAAGCTGTTCGTGGGGCTGGAGCACGCCATTCCCAGCTTCAATGTGAAGGAGAAGGTGGAGGGGCCGGGCTGCTCGTACCTGCAGCACATCCAGAGCGAGACGGGGGCCAAGGTCTTCCTGCGGGGCAAGGGCTCCGGCTGTCTCGAACCCGCGTCCGGGAGGGAGGCGTTTGAGCCCATGTACATCTACATCAAGTAAGTCCACAAAGTCTCTGCGAGCTGGATCTCTCCCTGGTGCCAGGAGACATACATTTACACAGGGAATCGCTTGTCTTCGAATTGACATCTGGTTGATACCTGACAAAAAACGATGTCCCTGCTATAGAATTGGAAGAGAATCAGTCAACCAGATCTAATATTGGAGGTTAAAGGAATGCTAATTCAGAAAGATAACCCAGTTGATTTCTTCTTCTTCGTGAAACAGTAACCGGAGGGCATGCATGAAACTACGGGGGAAATGCATTTAAATTGAGAGCTCCTTTACACAAAGAGTGGTGGGGGTATGGAATGGTCTGTCCGTCTATGTTGTTGGAAGCTGAGACCCTGGCTTTTCTCCAGGAGCTGCTGGAGTAGCTCAGCTACTGGCAACCAGACGGGCCAGGTTGGTGTCACGGTTGTGACTGCAATAAGAGAAACTCTGTGCCTCCGCAGTTAAAGTGCCCGTGCTAGTGGCGTCAAAAGCCTTTACGAGCAGCTGTCGTTACGTTAAATAGAAAAGTATTCTTGGTTTTATATTTGTTTACTATCTTTTATTGCGGTACCGTATTATAATACACCTTGATTTGTAATACACCTTAATCTTAATTTGTTGGCATTTCTCTCTTAAAAACAATGGGCATTTCCAGAGCGGGTGGCCTCTAAGCGAAGGCGTGACTGAGTAATTTCCTCTCCCTCCACAGCCATCCCAAACCAGAGGGCCTGGCGGCGGCCAAGAGGCTGTGTGAGAACCTGCTGCAGACGGTGAGCTCTCCGTCCGCTCTGCATGGCTGCTGTGCAGGGGAGGGAGCGCGACAGTGTCTTCTATCGACACGCAGCGAGTGGGTCAGAGACGAGGGCTGCCCCCTTCAGGCTGAGTGCATGCTCTCTTCCTGTGTTTCAGGTTCACGCTGAGTACTCCCGTTTCCTCAGCCAGATGAGTGCCATGATGCCCACCCCAGGTAGGTGCATGCACTGCAGGAATGCCCCAGCGGGCAGTAGGCCCTGCAGGGATGCACAGTCGCGTTCTCAGCACCTACTCAGTCAGAGTGGCAATTATCAGTTATTAACTAACTGGTGACGTTTCTGTGTTGATTGGCTAAAACGTTGGAGTAAAGGGTAGGGAAAATGTGTGTTGACTGGGAGTCCCCAAAAAATGTTTGATGATGTAAAATATTTTCTGGGACAAAATAAGGAAAACGGCTCTTTTCTGTTCTGCAGGGTTCATCCAGCCGCCTGCCCTGAATGGGATGCCCCCTCAGCCACCATACTACCCTCCCAGTGGGTACCAGCCCAGCTATAACATGCCTGTGCCACCCCCACAGTCTGGGATTCCCCCCTATGGAGTGCCCAGCTCTCTTCCACCACCTGTACCTCCAGCCTCTACCACGGTGATGCCCCCCAGCACACAGTACTCTGTCTCCGCAGCCCCGGAGTCGCTGCCCCAGGTACAGCTGGCACTACCAGTGCGGTCCTG